GGGGGGCTAGGTGGGTGCATGGGGAAAAGGTGGGGAAAGGTGGGTGGGTAGGGGAAAGGTGGAGGGAAGTGAAGGAAATGTGGGTAGGTAGTGAAAAGGTGGATGAAGGTGGGGAGAAGCTGTGTGAGGGTGAGTTCCCAGCAACAGCGTAGGAAGGAAAGTTCCGATGCACGTCTTGGGTTTTTCCCGATCTGTTTAATCCTGAAACGTCTGCATCTTGTAAGAATTCAGCAGTATAGCAACGTTGGATGGCAGTGGCGGCTGAAATAAGGTCTTCGGAAGACACTGTACGTATTTGTTCTTCTAATTAAGTATTAATTACATGTAGTTTGGTAATGAGGTGTTGATGTAGACAGACAGAATCATGGGCGGCTCAGTGTGAGACGTGGGTGGGCTCGGGGAATTCTCATTCGCTGCTGAGGTAAAAATCAAACTGATAAGAAGACCGGGTGGGAGCAATGAATATGGTTATGTGTAAATACATGCCATTATACGTACGCACATGTGCACGCTTGAACATTAGTCGATGTGGTTTTGCTGTTTAGTGTTTATACTAGCCTAGTACTAGTCAGAGACCGAGGGCAGACGAAATTGCTTGCTAACAGGATGAATAACCTGTTTAGCATAACTATCGAGGAAAATGTTATAAAGATAGACTCTGTAAGTAGCTGGAGAACTCAGGAATGTCTCATTTCGCTCCATCGCCTTGGTTTTTATCCTGTCATATACACCGCAGTGATAATGCAGCAGCTCCTGTTCCCATATATGTAAACTCCAGCAGAATTTTAGCTGAAACCGATGCAGCAAAGATAAAGTGTTTTTCAGTTGAGTTATAGCAACATGCATTTATAGTCAGAGATGATTTTAAACGTAACTAAATATAACTCAAGAGTCAGTCAGTAAACTTGTGTGGCGACGTGTTCGTATACAACAAACAGCGGGTATAGTAGCAGCTCAGAGAATAGTGGGTTTTAATGGGAACAGCTTGTCTCTAACCCATGCATTTCCCAGTGTAGGACATCATGCCATGACACGATGTGATGTCATCATCCATCTCTGTTGTTACACAACATCATGATAAGTGATTGTCTGCGTGTACATATTGCCCATGTATATATATAGCGGCAGGCCGCACGGGCTGCGTGCATTTCTCATGTATATATATAGCCACAAGCCGCAGGGGCTGTATCGTGCATGTATGTATATACCCGCGGGGTGCGTGTCTGGACGGCTAATGAGTGAGGGGCTCGATATACACGCTTATAAAGAGAAGTAGGTGGGGGAAGAGAAAGATAGAGGTAGAGAGGGACAGAGAGACAGAGAGAGAGAGAGAGAGAGAGAGAGAGAGAGAG